GCTTCCCTAGGCTGTGAGCCATTTTTGAAGGTGACTCCTTTAATCTTCTCAGGCTCTTTGGTTAACCTGGAAGCATCTGTGGCAACAATAAGCAAGCAAACCATGTGGACTTTGGGCTCGTGTTACAGGTTACCCTTTACTCCAGAATCCTGTCATGTTTTCATCATCATTTTTTTATGGGCAGTTTCTCAGATAGCCCTTGGCTCCTAGGCCAAGACTGTAGATAGAAGGACCCAAGTCTTGCCGGTTTACAGAGCTTTCCTTTGTATTTTGTCCTTTTTGAGCCTCACTAGAGAGTAGGGAGATAGTTAAAGCAAGCAACAGCCCCATTTTATAGATAAGGTTATAGAGGCAGAGGTGAGGTAATTGGCTTCCCCAAAATCAGAGCCATGGATCCTCATAGAGGATTATTCTGAAAGGAAATGAGCGTTCATGATGTTCAGCAGAGCACAGTCATCTAGCTTTTAATGTTCTGAGTTCACAGAGGTGGGAGAGACCAGACGCTGACCTTGAGGGCTTGACATTCTAGCTCGTGGGGTCTCTTTTTACCACATACTCTTGGGGCAGCAGCATCAGTCCCAAGAAAGAATATCAGAAGGATGAATGTAGATTTTCCACGACTCCTCCTGTCCCCATATTTTAGAGGGGAAGAGGTGTGTTATACGCAGAGAAGCTTGGATGTTGTGGTGAATTCTCTAGCTGAGAGAGAACTTCGAGCCTTTTTTTAGATGTGGAAATGGAAGCCAGGGAGCCTTCATGACCAGCCAGTTGTTTGGTGGCAGAGAGGGGACTGACTTGCAGCCCCGGTTCCTCTCGTCTTACCTCTAAGTTTAAATGTTACATGCCTTGTGAGGGTGGATGAGTGCCAGCTTTGAACATGAGGCTTAGTTCCAGGCTCCTCTTTAATCACAATTTTTTCCCAAAATTTTTTGTGGTAAAATACACGTAAAATGAAATTGGTCATCTTAACCAGTTTTAAGTGTGCAGTTCAGTGACATTAAGTGTATTCACATTGTTGTACAACCGTCACCACGATCCATCCATCTCCAGAACTCTTCATCTGGCAAAACCGAAACTCTGTTCTCATTAAGCATGAACTCCGTATTCCTTCCTCCCTCAGCCTCTACCAACCAGCATCTACTTTCTGTCTGGGGAAGAAAGGTACCAAAGGGATACTCAAGTGAAATGGATTCTTCTCCTCCTCCTCCTCCTCCTCCTCCATCTTCTCTTTCTTCTTCAAGTTTTTTTTGTGTTTCTCTAGGGGTAATGAATATCTAGTTAATTTGTTCTGAAGTGTTTTTCTTTTCACTTGGTCTAAAGTCACAATTCAAGAACAGGTTTTATTTTATTTTTTTTAATTCTGTGTTCAAAGCAGATCCCTTCTTAAAATGATGAGATGTATATAGGTGACCCTTTCTCCACAGTAGCTGGGTTCTCCCATTCTGAGCAATACCCTGGGGTTGTAGGGCTTCCCTTATCCCTGTATTACTTCTGAAGCACTAACTCGTGGCCTAGCCTTGCATGTAAACACTCCACTGGCTACCCTCTATTCATCTTTTTTCTTTGCAGAGTTCCCATCCTCATTACCCCCATCTGTTCTGCACTTGATCAGTTCTTGGGCTTCATGGTGGAATTGTTGGTCCTTTGGCCCAGGTAGCAGCTTAAGCAGTAAGGGAGGAGTCAGTTGTTTCTTTAAAACAAAACAGGAGGTCATATGTGTGCATTTTCTTCCTAATACTATATTGGCTCCTCCCCACAGTATTCATGAGTTTGGTAAGCATTTGTTCTCTGTCTTTTCTGTTAAGTAATTCACAGTCCCTGACTTTAAGGAACGTTGAGTCTGGTGAGGTGAGACAGATAAACATGTAGATGTATTAACCTGTTAGGTATAGTCATGGCAGGGTGCTCAAGACACTTTGGGAGTAAGAAGGGGGTTAGTCCTACTGGAGGTGGGCCTGGTGTGAAGTGTCAGAAAAGAATTCCTCCAGGAGATGACCCTGTGCTGAGCCCTGAAAGTGACTGTATTCCAGGCAGGAGAAGCAATCAGGTTTATTTGAATGTCAATCAGTTTGCTGAGGGAGGAGACAGGCGGTCTGTAAGAAAACCTTGCTACATTAATTTTATCTATTTGAATAGGTAATACATGCACAAGATACAAGGCTTAAGGAGATTAAAGGGGACCACATACAGTGAAAAATGAGTTCTTTTCCTGTTAATCACTCACTTCTCCTCCCTGAAGGCAATCGTTAGGTACTGATTTCTTGTGCATCATTCCAGAGATTTTTCCGGGCATACAGGGTGTATGTATGTGTATCCCCTTTAAAAATACATGCGTACTCACAAATGGTTCTCTTCACGTGCTAATTTTGGAAGTCATTCCGTATATGAGTACAGACTGACCTGCCTTGTTCTCTTCAAACCAGTGCATAGTATTCCATTACATGTGTGTATGACAGCTCGTTTAACTTGTGTCACTTCAATCCTTGTCCAGTACAAAGCATGCAGTGACTATCTTACCATCTCACATCTGTATCATTGCTCATGTGATTTTTGAGGACAGGTTCTAAAAGCAGAACTGATAGGTTAGAGAATGTGTGCATTTTGGGGACAGATGTATCTGAAAGAGCTCCACATTAATTATAAAATACTAAATTTAAGATCTTTACCACTTGGTGCCCCCCCTGCCCCGCCTCCAAAATCCTTGCCAGAGTGATCTTCCTAAATGAATTTGGTCTTGTAATTTCTCTGTTTATAATCCTGTAAGCTCTACATAGTTTTCACTGTAAAGTTTAAATTCCTTAGCTTAGCCCTTAACTCTGCTTCTGCCAAGAGTGCTGTGCTCCCATTGTTCTGTTCCACTTGTTATTTGGTACCTTCTTGTTTTCCTCCTTTTTCACTAAACATATGCACTAGCAGTCAGCATCATCTCCTCTGGGTAGTCTTTCCTGATTACCTTCACTTGTGTACAGAACATGTAGGCACCATTCTGATCCAGCCTCATCCATTCACTGCAGAAATATTTGTTGTGCACGTGCTGTGATGTGGCACAACCAGGTATTATTCTCAATGATCCACTGTTTGTTGCCTTGAGGGGATGATGACTATCTGGTAGGGCTACCTGCTGTGAATGAATCCAAAATGGCAGCACCAAAGGGCCTGTTGCTAACTGGGCATATTCTTTAACCTCTTCTGACCTTGGTTTTGGCATCTATCGAAGGAGGAGGTGAAGTCTGATGACCTCTAAGGTCTTATTAAGCTCAGGCCTTATTAATAATGACAACAGCAATAGCAAGCCGTGTTTACTGAGGACTTGCAAAGTGCGAGGCACTGCCAAGTGTTGTCTGATCCTGATTTTTACATCAAACCTATGAAGACATATGGTTATTGTTCCCATTTTACAGATGAGGAAGCTGAGGCTAAGAGAATTATTTGGTCACATGGTCATAATGGAGGAAACATTTGAATTTTGGCATTCTAACTCGACTGTTCTTAACTGCATAAATATATACACATTCCACATATTTACACACACACAGTTTTGTGTACTGTTTTGGGTCACTTACAGAATCTACCCCCAGACCTCTTCAGGAACCATCCCTTTTCTAGAGCTTTAAAGGCTCAAGTTGGAGCCTGGGTAAAAGCTGTGGACAGAAGACTGCTATAGTCACAGCTCTTTGGGGGTAGTGAGTAAGGTTAGCTCTATTCTTGAACCCCTGGCTCATGCTCATTGAGGACCTTCATAGCTGCTTTTCCTTCATACTGAGACAACTCATGTTGCTGTTTGCAGTCACCCTCTTTAGCAGGGGATGCAGGCCTGAGTCAAGCCTTCAGACACAGATGGAAGGCAGGGCTGGTTAATACCTCTGGCAGAATCGCAGGGGCACCCTTTATTAGCGTTGTCGATGGCAGGCTCCCTTATCTATTTACATAAAGCCTTATTAATGGAGAAGGAGGTGTGTGTATGGAATTTAAAAAGGGACTGTAATCTTATTTGAATACCCGTTATAAACAAGGATAAATGAAATCAAATGAGTTAACTAAAATATAATAGGCCTATATCAAAATGTATCTTCAGCTTCTCTGAAGGCATGTAGAAAATAATCCCTAAAAGTCTTGACCCCGATTTTTTTTTTTTTAAAGACTGGTTCCTGGTCGTCTGAAGTCATAGTCTGAACTAGAGGCGGTGGGGGGTGGCGGGGGGCGGGGGCAGTTAACAATTACAGTCCGTCCTCCCCCTAGTCGGTGTCAGGTACCGTCAACAAGTGTGGCCTCTGGGGTCACAGGTGTGTCAGGTGAGCCTAGATTAATTGGTCCATTTTTGAGATTCATGGCTGTGCAGTCAGCGTCACATCCTCAGGGGCTCATCCAGCCTCTGGCAGTTGAGCAAGCCTAGCCATGGGCCCTTGGCTCCCACTGCTGCATTCCTTCTCTAGGCGGTGTATTTCTCCCTTTAAGACACGTGTTCCCTATTTTTTTTTTCCTTTCGGTCGGTTGAACTCGCTCTGAGTCCAAGTGGCCAAGGCAAAGCCTGACTCAGGGATGTAGTACTCTGTCAACAGCTGCCTCTCTCCTGCTCTCTGTTGGAGGCTTGGAGGTGGTGGCGCAGAGCCCGGGCAGCTTCTGAAAGCTCTGTGGTGCCTGACAGATCTCCAGGTGAGCCTGCGCTTGTCTCCTTGTCCTGTTGCAAGGATCTGGCTCCTGGATGTGGACGCTGATGGCAGCTTGCTGCAGGCCTCAGCATTTCCCCAGATACACGTTGAAAAGCCACTTACGTGCCTGTCCTTTCTTGGCAGCAGGAATCATTTACTAGAATTCTTTCAACTTTGTATGTGATTATAGCTTCCTTACCAAAGTGCCTACTTGCAACAAACTTATGGCTGAAGTTTTCACTTATGTCTTTGTTTTTTTTTTTATAGGTAAATCTACCCGTGGCTGACTTTAGAATTCTTACTTCTGGCTTTTAAGTTTTTTCTTTTTAAAATAACTTGGACGGATAAAAGATGTGCCATGGCAGGATAGCACCAAAGAGCACCGCAGCGTTGGCCGTGGCCTCCGCGGGACATGGAGTGTTCCTTCCACTGATGATCCTAAGCACCCTCCTTGGAGACAGCCTTGCCTCAGGTGGGTTCGGGCCTGCCTCTGTGTGGGGGAGGGAAAAGACTTGTACCATTGTTCATCCCAAAGCCGGCATAGGGGACTCTCCCATCTAGCGGCCAGTTGCAGTGAGAGCAGAGAGGGGTGGTGGGCTTTTGTGCTGTGGAATAGCACGGGGCCAGTCCTGGGGGTGTGGCTGTAAGGGGCCTCCTGAGCCAGCTGGAGGGAGGGGTGTGTGTGAACATACTGGGGTTGACGTTACTGGCCTTCTCCCCACAGCTGGAGTCACCAGGTAGGATGGAGCTGTAGGGTTCAGAACATGATAGGCAGCAAGGGTGCAGGTTTGGGAATCAGACTGCCCATGTTCTGAGTCCAGTGCTGCTGTTGCTGGCTCTGGGACCTGAGCAAATCTCATTTCTGTAAGCCTTAGTTTCCTCAGCCACAGAATGGGATAATACTAGTACCTACCTGGGAGGGTGGTTCTGAAGATTGTCTAATACAATAGGTGCTTCATGATTGTTAGCTTTTTATTGTTTGTTCCTTGTCTTTTTATGTTTCTCTCAGAATAAGTGGAGTTGAGGTATTGTGATTTAGTGAAAGCAGGACCTGGTCACTGACACTCTAAACTTCGTGATCTTGGGCAAGCCACTTAGCCATTCCATGGCTCAGTTTCTCCATTTATCAAATGAGGGGGTTGACCTGGATACCTTTAAGGTCATATCCAGTTCCCTCTGTCTATATTTTCATGACTCTAAAGACTTTCTGATTGAAGCTGGTGAGCTGCAAGAGCCCTAGCAGAAGCTAGAAATGCAACCGTGAGCCTTTTTGAGTTTGTATGATCCTTATTGCCTTCCACAGTGCTCTGAAGACCCTTCTAGGTTCTCTTCACCTGGCGTTCTTTTAGGAAGGGGCATATTTGGGTGTGTACCGTAGGCCTCTGGGTGATGCTAGAGAACCTCTATAGAGCCTTTGTATCTGTGAGCACCAGTAGGGGTCTCAACTGATAATGATTTTTAAAAAAGATTTTATGTATGTATTTCTTTGAGAGAGAGAGAGCATGCACGCACACAAGTGGGGACAGAGCAGAGGGACAGGGACAAGCAGACTCTGTGCTGAGTGGGGAGCCCGGTGCGGGACCCGATCCCACAACCCGGAGATCACAACCTGAGCTGAAATCAAGAGTCGGACTGAGCCACATTTACCCTTCAGCTATTATGATTGAACTCAACAGTGATGCAGCCCCTACCAGACTTCATTAAATACATAAGGTGGCAGTTTTCTTTGGACAGCGTTCCCTGGAGAGGGATCTTAGCTAGATTCTGGAAGGGGACTTGAAGGATGGGGGCAGTGTGGTATATTGCGGTGTATAGAGTCCCCATAGCTCAGTGCTCTCTCTCATTCTCTGTCAACTCCCACCACCCACTTACCCAACACATACAGATAATGGTGCAATGAACTGCTGGGAGAAATAGTTATGCACTTGTTTTTGCATTGTAGCCTTCTCCACCACCCACGTACAGATTTCCTCTTCTACTGCCTCCTCTTCACCCTGTTCTGACACTTAAACCTTTCCCATAAAGCCTAAGACCTCTTTGGCTGTGAGGAGCTCCTAACATAGCCAAGGAGGCCATTAATGATTGGGACCTCACAGTGTGGGCATTGTGGCTATATGAAGTTCTAAAGGAAAAGAAGGCCAGAATCCACCAGTGTACAACCAGATGAAGCAGGGCTTATGTTCACAGGGCTTGGAGCCACAGCCAGAGGTGGTCTCTAGAAGTGGTAGTCACAGAGCCATAGGGTGTCAAGACCCTGTCTTGTTCACCACTGTATCTCTAGAGCAGAAGTTGGCAAGCTACGGTCCCTGGACCAAATCCTCCCTGTATGGCCCGTGAGCCAAGAATGGCTTTATATTTTTAAATGATCGGAAAAAAAATCAAAATATTTCATGATACATTAAAATTGTAAGTTCACATTTCAGTGTCCATAAATAAAGTTTTATTGGAACATAGCACTGTTCATTCATATATATTTTGTCTGTGGTTGTGTTTGTGTTAGAGTGGCAGTGTTGGGTAGTTGTGACATAGACTGTTGCCCCCAGAGCCTAAAATATTTAGACTTTAAAACATTTGGTCCTTTATACAAGAGGTTTGCCACCCTACCCCTAGCCCAGAACAAATGGTGCTCAATAAGTATGTGCATGAATGGAATGAGGATTTTAGAGGTCATGTACTTGCCTAGGTCCTAGGGCCGGGACCAGGACCTGGCTTAGTGCCTGGTACACTACCAAGACCGCCTTTTTCCCAGGCTCTACTAGGGAACCTGTCCCATTGTGTGACCTGGCAATATTAGGGCAGAAGATCTGCCTTTGGTTTCTGAAGTCTTTAGCCTCTTTAGCTTCATTAAGCCATTCCACCTACTGCTACCCTCCTTTTTTATGGGCTCCACCCCTGCCTCCTCCCATCTCCCACCCTATTTTCCAACTACCCACACCTTCCCAACTTTCCATCCAAGGTCTGAATTCAATTATTAGGGACTGATGGTTTCAGACTGGCTGGATAAAGGGATTATTATTCTCCAGTGTGGAAAAATGTATGTCTTTAGTGTGGGCTCAGAGCAGGATGGAAAAGTTGGCTCTATAGTTTTTTTCCCTCCCCCATCTGTACAGAATCCTCCCTCCCCTGCCACCCTCACCTCCCCCCCCCCCCGCCACCGCCAAGTCTTTTCTACTCCCCGTAAAACGTGTGCTGGCACAGAGCAGGATGCAGGCAGGGGAGGGGGTGGTCCCATTACTTAGATCCAGTGCACCACGTTGCTGCGTGTGTTTCCCTCTCTGAAGTGGCTTCTCAGGGAAGGAGGCACCCACTCCTTGGCCTGAAACCTGAGCACACCTGTATGGCTGTGCCTGCCATAAGCAGCTTGTGAGACAGGCTTGCCAAGAAACCAAGACTTGCAGATACTCTGAGGTCGAGGAAAGGCAGTTCAGTTCAGGAAAAGTCCCCTTTTCCTCTTGGTGCATATATTACCTGCTCCTGTAGCTGCACCTGAACACCCACTCCAGAAGCATTTTAAAAGGAGGTGCTTGTAAAATACACAGCCTTTGTTACCCAGTGGGCCCTAGTAGACCTTGAATGTGCTTGTGTGTGCATGCACACTTGTGACTGGGAGAATCCTACTGGACATAGTTAAGTGGGCATCTTGTAGGGGGGCAATTCATCTGTATCGTCTCTGGTTATAAATACCACAGTCACCCTTAGTCTTGGTAATAATTGCTCATGTGTAGAAGAAAATAATCATGTAGGAACAGGCACTAGAGAGTTCTGGTGCAGAGTTGTGCCATGATCGAGGTTTAGTTTTCCATCTCAGTTTCAAGAGGCAGTAGGTCCGGCTTCCCTCTTGGTCATTCCTTTTTTTTTTTTTTTTTTAAAGTTTTTTTTTTTTTTTTTGAGAGGGAGAGAGAATGAGAGAGAGCACAAGAGGGAAGAGGGTCAGAGGGAGAAGCAGACTCCCTGCTGAGCAGGGAGCCTGACATGGGACTCGATCCTGGGACTCCAGGATCATGACCTGAGCCGAAGACAGTCGCTTAACCAGCTGAGCCACCCAGGCGCCCCCCTCTTGGTCATTCCTTAAACAGAGATGGAGAAAATTATTGAAGGTTTTCCTTTTGGGGTGTGGCAAAAAGAAGCATATCTTATCTTCACACCTGGTTCACACCATGCAGGCAGAAGATCAGAAATAAAGATAAAATCTATGTGCGGAGTACCCAGCATGCCTCTCTTCTTGGGCTAGAGAGGAATTAGGGTCCCAACTGTGTAGCAGCCACTCCCAGATCTCACAACTCCTTCCTTTTACCTGTGATTTTTTAAAAAAAAATATTTATTTATTTGTGAAAGGGAGAGAGCATGAGCAGCAAGGAGGGTCAGAGGGAGAGGGAGAAGCAGACTCCCTGCTGAGCAGGGAGCCCAGTGCGGGGCTCCATCCCAGACCCTGGGATCATGACCTGAGCTGAAGGCAGACGCCTAACTGACTGAACTAGGCGCCTTTACCTATGATCTTAAGAAACTTGCTTTTTTAAAAAAGAAAAGAAAAAACAAAAGAAAAGAAACATGCTTTATAACCTTAGGCAGATCACTTGACCTCTTTGTGTCTCCTTCAAAACGGAAACAAAATCCTTAAGGATGTGAGGTTGGTGTTGTATAGACTAATAAAAATGATTGGAGGGCACTTGGCATATAAAATGTGCGGTGTAATTCCCATATAATGACAACAGAGTTGGTGCATGACCCACTGTTGAGTCATGCTGGGCAGGAATTTTTATGCAGATGACATCTTTTTCTGTCTTTAAAAAAACAAAACTAAAGATGCAAAGTCATTTTTTGTGTTGAGGATAAGGAAGTGGGACCAGGTGTCTGACTTGACCAGTTGAGGAAGGATTGGTTACTTCTGGAAACCCCTTTGCTTTCCAGAAAGCTCAGGTTTGCATAGTGTGATAGTCTCAACCCGGCCACTTGCTGACTCATGTAAAAAGCTTTTGATGTTCATTCTCTCCCTTTCCTGAGGATATTTACTGAAAAAAAAAAAAAAAAAACTCTGTATTTTATTTGTTTCTGATTTTTTTTTAAGATTTTATTTTGAGAGAGAGAGAGAGCACACGAGCGAGGGGGAGGAGCAGAGGGAGAGGGAGAAGCACACTTCCCTCTGAGCAAGGAGCCGGATGTGGGGCTTGATCCCAGGATCCTGGGATCATGACCCGAGCCAGAGGCAGACGTTTAACCTACTGAGCCACCTAGGTGCCCCTGTTTCTGATTTTTTTTCCCCCTTAAAGTGTTTCCATGACACTGTAGGCCATGTTAAACATCACACAAGCACCTAAAGCAATTTTAAAATAGCAGGGAAAGCAGCCATGTACATTTCTATGCAGCAGAGTGAGAAAGCCTGGCAGTTAGTGTTCATCGAAGATGGAAAATGTTGAGAACATGGCTCTCAGGGGTATGATGCGGCTTTGGCCCTTGACTTTGCTGTGGCTGGGA